TCTCTCTCTCTCTCTCTCTCTCTCTCTCTCTCTCTCTCTCTCTCTCTCTCTCTGTGTGTGTGTGTGTGTGTGTGTGTGTGTGTTTTAGTTGACTTGTAGCCAAATAAATCTTAACACCTGTAGATTCAGAGTTTGGAGTGATGCATTTCCCATGACCTAGGAAAAAATAAGTGAATTTCCGTTCCTGAGATTACTTAGCTGTTTTGCACTGGTGGAATTTATCAGAGTGTTTTCCATATGTTTTGCAGACTCTAGCCAATCCTCTGTGATCATTTTGGAGGGCTGTGTGTGTGGTGAACTAACTTTGGTCTCTGTGCATGAATTTTTGCTTTCATCTGAATCAGAGACCATAATTGGGAAGTTTCTCAGCTTCCCTCTGGATTCCAAATGCATTACATATTTATGGGAACCTTTGTTGTCAGAGGTCAGAGAATTATCTGAATCAATGTTTCATTCATATGCTCATTTTTAAGATAGCTGTTCTGGATTCTAGGGCTCACATATCCAAGAAAAAAGAGAATCTTGGGGAGAAGGATGGATTGTGTTCACACCACCATTACGTGTGCACACAGATGCAGTATTCACTCTCTGTGGTCCCCAGGGAAGGGGAGAGACCATGGATATTCCTCATGGTATCATTTTCTAGAGCCTGCTTCTTCTCACTTCCTCTGGGTAACAGTTGTGCAACTGAGCCTTCATGTGAGACTCATAAAGCTGGAGCAGGGGCTGTTTCTGACTACATTGCCTGCCTTCAGATCCCTTCCCATAACTGGGATGCTTTGTCTAGCCCCAGTGGAAGAGGATGCACCTAGTCTTGCTGTGACTTGATTAGCATAGGCCAGTTGATGTCCATGGGATCCTCCCCTTTTCTAGGGAGAAGGGGAGGAGAGATAAATGGGGAGAGCTGAGGAGAGGTGGAGGGAAAAACTAAGATGAGAGGAGGGAGGAGATGCGGTAATCAGGGTAGGGTGTACAGTGAATAAATAACTTCTTCAATAAAAAGTGAATACTAATTTCAAATATTTGTCATAGTCTAGTACATTCTGCAAGGACTAGAATCTTGTTAGAGTAAATGTGCAGCCCACACATTAGCAAGAGCATGGTTGTGCATGGACAAGCATCTCAAAGATTTTCATGCAAAGAAGATGGCAGATGCCAAGTGGAGAGATAGAAAGGGTGTGTCTCATCCATCATCCTGAGAGTGCATCTCCTGGTACTGTTAGAGGACAGGGTCACAGTGATGAATTTCATTGACTTATCTGCATGCCTCTTAGTTTCAAAACCTTTTGAGACCTTCAGAAATGAGCAGTTTGGAAATGTCAAAGAAAGGATGGAGGGGAGTAAAAGGAGATGGAGAGAGGGGAGGAGGGGGAGGAGAGGGAGAGGGAGAGGGAGAGGGAGAGGGAGAGGGAGAGGGAGAGGGACAGAGACAGAGAGAGAGAAAAACAGAGAGACAGAGAGAAACAGAGAAAGAGGAGGGTCACCTAGCCTCTGTGAATCTCCGTCATTAAAAAGAAAATCATCATTCCATTGGTACAGAGATGAAAAATCATTGCACTGGTCCCCGTTCATTTTGAACCAAATGAGTGGCTTCAGATATGATCTAGTTTCTCAGTATGTCACATCCTATTGTGAAAACTATCACATGAATTTTAAAAAGTAACAAATCAGTTCATGTGAGTGAGTTACAGCAAAGCAAGTACTCCCTGCCATAGGTCCCAGGTGCTGTATGATAGCACTCCGGGCTTTGGGGTAGGTAAAAGTTCCTGGTTTCGGGATTGATACATGCCAAAAGTTTTAGCCCACAGTCACAATGATGTTAGTTCAGATACAGGGGCAAGTGGCAAGTGGCTACTGAGGGCTCTAAACACAGTGTGAGATAAATTTGGTTTGCCAGCGGCAGTAATTGAGATTCCTCATCATCCTGAAGATTTTGTCAGCTAATCAGATCATCAGTGCCAATGTGGGATTTGGAAGGAGATGTCAGATCGAAGTAGCATTTAAACAGAAGCGAAAAGGAATGTTTGAACAAGAAGGAGCTGTAATGTTCAGCTACCTTCTCTCACCTCTGTCTTGGAACCATGTGAATCATCACATGGAGAGACCACAGTGCTACTTTCTAACTTAGAAAACAGAGCTCGCATTGAGTCAAGAGGTACCAGCAAGGAGGCATTTGCAGGTGCTTAGCTTGAGACAGTCAGGGACATCTATAGGGTCAAGGAGAAGATGAAGGGATGAGTCTAAACCAGTGAGGCCATGATGTGATCATACTGATAAAGAACACAGGGTAGACACAGATGTCACCACGATGGTTTTTCATCTACCTGACATAGGCTGAGAAGTGCTGAGGTCAGGGTAAGTGCAAAGCCTGTAAGGCAGGGTGGGTGGCAATAGTTCTCTCTGGTGACCAGATTTACATTGATGCTATATGCCCTGTAGTGTTGTCTCAAAATAATAACTGTAGCTTGGTTGATTGGGGGTGTGAGTTTATTTGACTATAATTGCATTTTGTAGATCCAAACCTGTTAATCTACTGATTATCAGAGTTTATCATATTTGAATAGCGTTTCTTGGAGGTTTCACTTGCCAGGTCCCTTGGGCTGCTATTTTTGTGCTCCCTCTTATAGGCTTTCTAGAATTCTGTCTGAGGGAACCATCTCACTTCTGCAAAAATACTGCTGTTTCCATGTTCCACCTAAGACCAGAAGAAATAAGAATCTGCACAGACAAGCTCAGGTGTCAGTTCAGTGTTTTGATTTGTGTCTCAGAACAGTTATACTAGGTTTCAAAACTGCTCACCCACATTCAGAGAATAGTGAACCCCATTGCTGTTTTATTATGTGAGTGTGTATAGGCACAGTATAAACTATCAAATTAAAATAAAATTTAGTAGAATGAGTGTTAAGCTGGTAATGTCATACTAAGAAACATATTTATAGAAAAGCTACTGAAATGTTCAAAAATAAATATTTTGAATAGGTCAGGAAAAAGTTAAGTGAGAATTGAACGTGGGAAATAATTTTAGCATTTCTAAAGGTGATAGTTAAAAGTTACATCAATAGATTACCATGGAGACTCCAAGAGACTTGGGCACAAATTTCCATGAGACAGGACAGCCATGTCAAAAGAAATTATAGAAAGTGCTCTAATCTAGCCCGTTGCTCTTTCCTCTGTGATCACATTCCCAGGGAAGGATACATTCATTGCATTTGTTTTCTGTGAGGATTTGAATCTTTTATTCAAGTGTGAACTGTCTTTCCAAGAGAGCATGTCCAAGTCATCTCCAGCTTGTTATAATCCATTTGGAAGGATACTTGACTCCATCCATGTGGAGAGAGGCTTGACTCCATCTCTAGAAGCAGAGGTTCGATGCTATGATAATCTGTACCTTTGCCTTCTAGTCTCTTGATTCCTTCAAACACTCTATGGAACTGCAGTCTGAGTAAGACATGGTCCTCAAGTAAAAAAATCTAGAATAACTGTCGATTTGGTCAATAATTAGGGGACATTTTGCAAGATTCTGAGTAAGATATCAGTGCAAACTATCTTCATCAAGTCCCCCATAGAGGGAAGCTACTCATTGTCAGAGTTGAAGTTCTATAGACCTGCCTTATATAGTGGCTAGACTGTGCTAATGGTTTCCAGAGGGTGTGGTAGACATGGATTCTTCCAAGTAGCAGCAGGCTGGCCTCTAGACAGGGCTCTTTGTACCTTTGGCAGGAGAAACAGTCAGACACTTCTTGGCCCTTAGTATGAGAGGCTCACAAGCAGTTGACCCTCAAGACTGTTTTGCAAATTAATAAATGAATAGTATCTTTCAGCTGATAGCCACTGTATTATTAACACTTGAGACAATGTCTGTAAATTCTATAGGTCTGGTGTGTTTGTACTCTCCCTTCAATGCTGCAATGTTTTGAGGAAAGGGATCCAACTGTGTGCTTTCTTCTAAGATTGTAAACAGGTTCATTCTGCATCATCATGTGTTTTAACATTTAGTTAAGAGGAAGAATATTCAAATAAGTTAGGCTGGTTTAAATATCCTAGGGATTGCAAATGATCTTGCTTGCCTTGTTCATAGCCAGAAGCATAGATTAAATCTAAATTAAAGCTTGTGTCTTAGTCTTAGCAGTGGCAGATAGACAGCTGGAAGTGCTGGAAAGTGACATCTGCTGCCTGTGACACTTGCCTGAACAGTTCCTCTGCACAGCCATGTGCCCTCTTCATCCTGGATGTTATAATAAAATATTAGAGGAACTGAGAATCTCTTTGAAACTTTTTATACAACCAATGTTTGGATGCAGGAAAGGAGACAGCTCTTTCCTCTATTAAAGTGTGCAGTCTACCATGCTCTCTAAGGGGTGTATTCAGTGGCTTGTTTATTTCCTTCTCCTCAGAAATCGAGAAGGGAGGCTGTGGGGACCCTGGCATCCCAGCCTATGGGAAGCGGACTGGCAGCAGCTTCTTGCACGGAGACACGCTCACCTTTGAGTGCCAGGCGGCTTTTGAGCTTGTGGGAGAGAGAGTGATTACCTGCCAGAAAAACAACCAGTGGTCAGGCAACAAGCCAAGCTGTGTGTGTGAGTACTACCTGTGGGAGTTTGCATCAGTTATGAAGGAAGGGAAGTGTGTCAGAGAGATAGCCTTGTGGGGAACTCAGGGCTTCCTATTTCCTCACCCTGCTACAGACAACTTGATTCTGTCTGCTTGATAAGAAATAGCTGAACTACCACCTCCTTTATTATTTTTTTGAAAGGATGGAGACATCTACCACCATCTCCACCAAGAACTCACACAGACTTGATTTACCTTAGCCAGTGCCTGGATATGAGCTGGTTGTATAAGCCAGGTGACGATAGTCATTTATAATTCAATTAGAGAACCAACTTACTGAATCTATGTCATACCACCTAACGTTTCAGCCATCAAACATTAGGTATCTCATCCACAAAAAATAAGAAGTGGTTTAACTTATAAATAAATATAGCAACAGCATTTTTTAGCCAACCTGATAGAATTGGTTTTAGAATACACCGATACGATACTCAAGTCTCAATAAATCTAGCTGCTCTTACAGCTGTGAAGGAGAAACCCTGGTCTCCAGCACACAGAGCTCAGAGTAGCTTTATGATGAGCTCCTATATGTAGGGCAGGCATCCCGAGTTCTCTGGAGTTTCGTTCATATGACAGTGCTTTGGGTCTGTGTGAAACCATTTAAAAGCATTTTCGTATGCCTGCAGTTTCATGTTTCTTCAACTTCACGGCATCCTCTGGGATCATCCTCTCACCAAACTATCCTGAGGAATACGGCAACAACATGAACTGTGTGTGGTTGATTATATCTGAGCCTGGGAGCCGGATTCACCTCATCTTCAATGATTTTGATGTGGAGCCTCAGTTTGACTTCCTTGCCGTCAAAGATGATGGGATTTCTGACATCACAGTCCTCGGAACATTCTCTGGCAATGAGGTGCCTGCACAGCTGGCCAGCAGTGGACACATAGTACGCCTGGAGTTTCAGTCTGATCACTCTACCACGGGCAGAGGGTTCAACATCACATACACCAGTGAGTGGACCACACAAATACCTCTTCCATACCCCACTGTGTTTGCATGTATATGAGCTGATATGAACTAAGAACTCAAGGCTGATGCCTTAGAATTATAAAAATAGCAAAATGATATATCATCCTGGTGAGCAAAAAGGCATTGCTCTATGTGGCCTGTAGCTTAGCTGACTAGAGTAGAATTCTCACATAAATTCTCTCTCTCTCTCTCTCTCTCTCTCTCTCTCTCTCTCTCTCTCTCTGTCTCTCTGTCTCTCTTTCTCTCTCTTCCTCCTTCCCTCCTTTCTCTTTCTCTCTCTCTGTCTCTCTGTCTCTCACCATCAGTTCACTCATCTACTCATTTATTATTCATTTCCCATGCATCCATTCATCCATCCATCCATCCATCCACTATTATCTGCCTATTCAGCCATTTGTCCATTGATTCATCTGTCCATTCAATTATCCATTCATCTGTCCACCATTTTCAATCCATTTATTCTTCATTATCTATTCATCCATGCATCAATCTATCCATTCATTTATTCATCATCCTCCTTTCCATTTACCTAGCCACCATCCTTTCATCTATTTGCCTATTTATCCACCCCTTATTCCTCATATCCATCCATGCATACATACCTCTTTTGTCACCTATGGACCCTTCACCACCCATCCATCTCTCAATCCATTCTTCAGTATCCTTTTATCCTTCATTATCTATGCCTCTACCCACTCATTTACCCATCAGTAATTTTATCTACCTGCCCTTCAATCCGTTCATCCTTCCATCCATCCAGCAACACATCTACCTAAAAATGCATGCTCTAAAGAAGGATACAGGGTGGTTAAAAACAAACTGAGGGATCAGATATCAAGTCCTAGGGATAAGAATAATGGTACCTAGAGATACCTTGTCAGTGTCAATCTGGCAGCTAACTTTGCTTCGGTTTTGTCTTTTGAAAAACATTTGAAATAATGAAGGAAAATGTGAGTTGATAGAACTAATATCAGTAATGCTATATTGTTCGGTTATAGAATTTGACCATATTTATTTTAATTGATGTTAACAATTAAAGGATATAAGCTTAATATTCTTCATGGTTTAAACAAAAAGTGACAGGTCTAGATCATAAGATTCCTTCCCCAGATCACAAGGTTGGGCTTCAAGTAGTGCTCAAACAGGTCAGGGTCCTTCTGATCTCTCCACTTACCACCCATGCTGTGGTCTTCCCCTCTTGTTGGAGCACAGTGAAAGTGAGTTCCACCAGCAGTATGCTGTGGAGGAGATAGATAAAGTCCATGTCATCCATCTACTCCCTCTTTGCCCCCTACTCTTTTATACTGACATCTAATTAGTTTGTGGAATTTACTCATGAATGACACCATTGTTTTATAAACATGATGTTTCCTTCATTTTCAGGGCATGGAATTAGTACTTAAGCATCTTTATGTTGCTTACTTTTCTCTTCCATTTACAGCATTTGGTCAGAATGAGTGCCATGATCCTGGGATTCCTGTGAATGGACGGCGTTTTGGAGACAGATTTCTGCTGGGAAGTTCTGTGTCCTTCCATTGTGATGATGGCTTTGTGAAGACTCAGGGTTCTGAGTCCATCACATGCATCTTGCAAGACGGAAATGTGGTCTGGAGCTCTACTGTCCCTCGCTGCGAAGGTGAGCCTATGATCCAGTCCTTCAGAAAGACAGCAAATAGACTCTGTTACCTCCCCAGAGTCCCTTAACCCAGAAAAGTAGCTCAAATGTGAGACTTCTTTCTTTCAAGACTGTAACCTGGATGTCTAAGACCATGGCTTTGTTGGGGTTGAGTCCTTCTGGAAAATGTGAGAAGGAGAATTTCCTGGTGCCTCCCAACCCAGGTTCCTGTGGCTACTGATATTCTGAGATACCCTTGATTTACAGACCATTAGTTAGCTTGTGGCTTTACACCAACCTGCTGATTTCCTCTGTGTCTGTTTTTCTGTTCATTTCTTTGATAAGGCATATTCATGAATGATCAGAGCATCTCTTCTATTTAAGTTTCACCGAACATCTCACAATGCCATCTCCAAATATGAGCCAATTCCACATCCTAAGGACAAGGGGATTGAGCAGATCAAGATTATGATTCTAACTGATTATTTGGGAATTATTGTCACAGCTTATAGAAATATGAACTAATGTTCTTCTTGCTGTTTCTTCATTACCTATGTAATGAAGCCAGAGGGAAACAGTGACACGGAAAAAGATGCAGCCTGAGAATATTGATTGTTTTCTGAATCTCTTGTATCAGAGTATGCTAACATCATTGTGGTCACAACCGCCCACCCACAAAGAGCTAAGAAGCACTTTCTTTGCAAGACTATCTTGTATAAACAGCAAAGAAATAGAAATTCAAAAGCAAAATCAATATGACATGATCAGCAAAGGGTTAAGGTTAAAAGCGTTAATAAGGTAGATTATTGTCAAGTCTGGGGGAAAAACCTTGGTGTCTCCTGGCTGTGATATCCAGAATAGAAATGATGACAGCATCTCAGGGTAAATTTAGACTGTGATCTGCAATTCCTTTTGTCTTTTGAGCCATGATCTGTATTTTTAGAATAATATAATAATACCACAAAATAGTCTGACAACAATAAATGGCATTTCTGAAGAATGTTTGCACAAATAAAAGAACAAAGACTTAGAAATGAGGAAAGCTCAAACCATGAGGCTTGTTTGGGTAATTAGCTTGTATCCAAATGCCAGGTCTCAGCCACCACTAAAAATGTTGTAATATCAAAATAACACTACTGAAACCTTATCATGTGAGAGGACAAATCACACAAAACTGTGGGTGCTAATGAAACCACTTAAAACATAATCTTGCCTTCGAAGTACCATGTGAACACATATAATGAGTCATGATGTACCACGGCTGAAAACGTCTAAATAAATAGTAGCTCATGTTAACAAAAAGCTCCAATGTGTTAAGAGCTGGTTGATAATTAGGGATATAAGAAACTATTTTCCTTTGCTCACTATTTATCCTGTTTCTCTAATGTTAAAATGTTTTCATTTTAGTAAGTAAATAGAAAAGGGTTGTGTAAGTTAAAGGTTGCTTTCCTATCCAACTCTATCAAGCTGCAGAGTCAAAAGGAGCATGGCTTAATGTCACAAGTCTTGTGACCCACAGGAGAATTAAGCTGACTCTGGCTCAATGTACAGATTAAGCTACTGAGTGGCAGCCAATAGCACAGTGGCCTAGTCTTGCCCCTGCCCTACCTCCATAGTTGTTCTTTGGTATTTTAGCTGGCAGTGTGTCTAGCTAGTCAGGATGGATTTATCCTGCCCTAGTCCCACCTCTAGAGTTATTCCTTTATAAATTCAAAAAATATTAAGATTTTTTTATACACACGTAGTACATTTTCATCAAATCCACCTTCGTTCCCTTTCCTACAGTTTTATCCCCCACCTACCACTTTTCCGTGGCAACTTTTGTACCCTTCTTCTTAAGCCTACCAACTCCACTGCCTGTGTGTGCATGGTGTAGGGCCATGTATTGGAATATGGGTAGGCTCAGTGATAGAATATATGTAACCAGGTGCTGATCTTTGCCACTTTGGGATCTCGTAAAGTTCAGAACACTGTTGTAGTTTCTTCCATGAATTGCATACCATGTTAATGAACTTGGATAACACCAACAGGTATAAATGGATAACATGAAAGACCAGAAAACAAAACACAATTCACTACAACAAGAATTTTGATCTGTCAGACACATAGCATGTAAATTTTGTACAACATATTTTATAAAATGTTGAGCCATCACAGTTTTTAATCTTCTGGAAACATGTAGATTCACCCCTGAAGGCTCTCGAATTGATGACATGGGCAATCTTGTTTGCAGACACTGCTCTAGCCAAGCATTTCTGGTGACTTTGAAGCATGACTGATTCATTGACAATGATGGTTAAGATAACAAGGCTCTAGCCTCTGCCCACAACTATCTTGTGCCTCTGTGGGCAATAGACTGTATAGGGATGTACTGTAAGCTGCAAGGTGAGTATTTGCCTGAGGACAAGGAGAATAAATGGACTGGATCAAGGTGGGATGAGAGGGCGGAGAAAAGAAAAACTGTCAGTCACATTAAAAGTTGGTGGAGAATTCTTTTTTTCTTTGGGAAGACCCAGGCCCAACCCATGAAGTGAAATGCAAACTCTAGCTGGGATTGTTTGACAAAGAGAGAGGAAGGGGAATAGGTGATAGAGTCTGGAAGTTTTCCTACTCCAGGAAACCCAATTACGGTTTGCAAATGAGTCCCTGACAGGGCAGGTGAATACTCTGATAAGAGTTGAATAGAGTTCCCAATCAATGTGCCTGCTGAAGTAGAATAAAGCCCAAATTTCAGATAGATGTGAATCAGGAGAGAAAAAAAAAGGTGGAAGTGAGTAAGAACAGCACTCGCAGCCTAAGAAGGGTGTGAAGAATGCCACACTCCTGATAGACTGTGAAGATGCTCTCATTCCTTACAGAATGGACAGCCTCTCAGACCCCTTACAGAATATGCTGTCTCTCACCCCCTTACAAAATACACAGTCTCTCATGCCTCTTACAGAATATGCAGCCTCTCACTCCCTTTAAAGAATATGTAGCTCTCATTCTCCTTACAGAATAGACAGTCTCTTACATGCTTTATACAACAGGCTTGTACAAAGAACCCTCCAGTCCCATAGAACACTCCTGTTCCTTGTGTTTCTCCAGGATGGACTTTTAACATAACCTACATTGTTAGCTACAAAGCAAAGGTAAACAAGTTAAACTGAAAGTAAGTCATGTGGTTTTTTTTTTCATATTTAAACTAAAGAACCACAAGTAGTATTAAGAATAAAACTATAAAAGAAATATATAAAATGGAAAGGCACATTCTAATTTGATTGTGAGTCATGAAAAACCTGGACTCCAGGTCCCAGCCCATCCAGAACCATGCACAGCAGGGATCTTTCAGTTAGGAAGAAGGTGGGGCACACACACAGAAGTGAGGCCACACACCCAGATGTGAGATTGTACACAGAGATATGAGGAAGCATACCTAGACATAAGCAAACACATGCAGGCATAGAAGAGAGTACCCAGTCTTGAGAGAGGATACCCAGATTTGACAGGGGCTGCCCAGATTTGAGGCAGCACACCAAAGCCACACTCAGGCCATAATATTTATAGGCCTCGAAGGAAGGACTGAAAGATAAGAATCTGGAAAATGACTCCTCGGATTAATAAGATAAAGACAAAAACAATTGGAGTGTTAAGCTAACAAAAGCCAACACTAAAAGGTAATTCAGGGTGAGTGTGAGGGAGTTTCTTGTTGGTGTCACTAAGAAGAGGCCCTAGCAATTCTAATAGAGGAACTGTGGACACTGAAAATAACAGTGACAGATTCACAAGAGGAGAATGTTACCGAAGTAACAATGTAACTTCAGACAAATAGGCTCTTAACTATAGATCCTTCTGGCACAACCCCAGATGCCAAGAACATCACACTTGTTAACCAAGAGGCCTCTAAGCAGTCTTCTCTGTGCATTACTTCAGCCTCTGCCCTCCACCCTTCCCTGTGACTCAGTGGCAATTGAGAAACTCCCCAGGTATTGTGGGGAAAATATTGTATACAAAAACATGAACTCTAGAATTATAAAATTAAAAATAAAGCTAAATAACAAAGTCCTTATGAAATTGACAGCTTTTCCCACAATAGTATAAACTATCAATAACCCCCCCCACACAAAAGTAGGATATATACACAAATTACCAAAGAAAATCTTTTCTAGGCACTCTTTCAGACCATAAGGATTTCTAATCTTAACTTGCATTTTTCCAATTGCCCTTTTGTCATTTCGTGGCAAAAGTTCCCCCCCCCAAACCCTACACTTTGCTTAATGAATTAGACAGCACTAGTTGTGATTTGTAACATTCACCCATAATTATATGCCATCGGCAAGTAATGATAACAAGGAGATCACCTTGGCATGTGTCTGCAGAGTCACACAGCATCTCAGAGCATTCCACTTTAGACTTGAGATGGTTTTAAAGTAGATGTGGATGTGTGGAATGTGGATGATGGTTGCATGCACCTCAGCAGAGGGAAGGTGACTGGAAAGTGCTGTCCTGCCGCTCCTTGAACACGGATACCTCACGTATATCCAGGGTATTATAGTAGAAAACCATACTGAGTCTGATTTAAAAAAATAAAGTCCAGCAAAAAGGTGGGATATACCTGTTGACTTCATCCCTTATGTTTTCCTGAGAAAAGAGTTCTGTTTGATGTAAACACTGATTTCCATCGATGACCATCCAACGCCCACCCCTAGTGAGAGACTACTGTGGTGTGTCTTCCTAGATTTGACTTTTTTCTTGACAGATGTGTATGTCCTCTTCCAGCTCCATGTGGTGGGCACCTGACGGCTTCTAGTGGGGTCATATTACCTCCAGGATGGCCAGGATATTACAAAGATTCTTTAAATTGTGAATGGGTCATTGAAGCAAAACCAGGACATTCTATCAAAATAATATTCGACAGGTAAGAGCACAACCTTTGCTTTGGTACCTAGAGTCGTAGCAACACTTCTTTCGTTAAGGAAATAGAGCTTAAAGCATAGATACCCATCAGTCCCCAAAGAAAGATCACCCAACAAGGACCAGGGCATGAGACTCTGTCCATGCTTTTCTCATGGTCCTGCTATCCAGTGGGCATTCTCCAGTTCTGGGCAGGCATGCTAGCACCTGGAGGCAGCCAAAAGATGTAGAGCCAGAAGCAGAGTTACTGTAGTAGATTAAGAGCCTCCATAGTCTCATGAGCCACCATAACTGGGGCACAGTTTTATGGCTTAGCAATCTGAACACATGTTTTTAATCTGCAAAAGTTAGGACACTTTGTACTCTAGCATGAGGTGCACAATAACCCTGTACTAGGAAGCTAAGGATTCATCTTTGCTTAACAGGTTCAGTTTTTTGAGTGACTTGACAATTTGTACTCTAAGTTATAATACTCCTAATTTTTGTCTCAAGGTGTATGACGTTTTTAATTTGTTTTCAAATAACTCAAAGTATCAGGACTAGAATTTCTTTTTTTTAATTGAATGTTTTATTTACATTTCATATATTATCCCCTTAACCCATCCCCCACCCACCCAGGAACTCCCTATCCCAGAAGAGGGCATCAGATCCCATTACAGATGGTTGTGAGCCACCATGTGGTTGCTGGGAATTGAACTCAGGACCTCTGGAAGAGCAGTCAGCGCTCTTAACAGCTGAGCCATTCTCCAGCCCTTAGAAATTCTTAAGGAAGTAGTTGAGCTATCATTACAAATTAGATTTTTATTCATAATTATCCACACCTCTGTTGGATGACCCTATTTTTTATTCAGATAATCCATCCTAAAAAAGGATAATGGTTTATATTGGTGAGTTACTCTGCAAGTAGCCTTAATCATTAAAAATAACAGTAAGTGTTCAATATGTGAAATTTGATTTCCTACATATCCTTACACTTCAGTTATTGAGGGAAAACTGAATTTAAACGCCCCATGATCCCAGTCATGGGTCAGATTCCTATCAATTAGTAAAGCATTAATTTCATGGTCTCATTTGACAATCAAGCTTCAGTTGCTTGAAGAAAGATTCATGTTAAAATTTCCTTATGTGATATTCTCAGAATTGTTTTGGTGTAATATTGTAGTAAATTCTATTTGAGTGGCTAATATTCTTGGAAATTGGAGATATTGAACTGAGATGCAGTCAGTGCTTAGCTCTTCAAAGCTGAACTGCATGAAGCTGTTTTAGTTTGTTCTTACTTCATAGGTGATATTAAGTCTGTGGAAATAAGGTTTGGATTCTCCACAGATGGGTTGGCCATATAAAGATGCCAGGCTGCCAAGTCATGATAAGCAATGAACGTTTATAGTTTTCATTGTGTGTTTTTATTAGTCTTTGTTGCCCTAGCTAAAGATGACATGAAAGAATTTTCCATGAAGATTCAAGATTGAAATGTACAACTCTATGCTCATGTAGACCTCTGGAATTTGAACTCAAATATCTGGTATAATACAGCACCCTTAGAACAGGTGTTAAAAGTAATAAAGTCAAATCGATCACCACCAGTCTTGAGTCCACCAGCCTCATGTACTGTTCTGGTCCAGCCATCTGAGATACATTGTTTGAATTTCTCTGTATAGAAGAACAGAGCTCAGAGTAGCAGCCTCATTTGCTCAGAAAACATAACATTATTGTGCCTTTGCAAAGGAACACCCACATTGATGATGAGCAGGGCTGTGTTGTTAAATGAGGCTCAGCATCCTTTTGCTGTTGAGGAGATGTACAAATAAACTGAGCTAGTTCCCTGGCTCCCTTCTCTTCCTAGCAATAGTCTGAGCCCAGCATGGGAATGGTGGCCCAGCTTCTGAGACACATTTGGCTCAGTTGCTGAGTGAGTCAGAGTCAGGCAATGCTGAGATATTCCCTCAGAGCCAAAAGAGTCGCTTGGAAACCGAGTTAGCTCTTGGAGGATGAGATGGGTCTATTTAAGAAATTATCTCCATGCCCAGAATGGTGTCATCATTGCACCGAGGGGATCTGGGTGCCTCAGCTTTATATCAATATAATTGCAGGCTGGATTCACTGGAAGTACAAGCAGAGTTAAACACTATCTGGAAGCTGTTCTGGCTTTCCCAAATCGTTATGGCATCATTGAGTTTGTGAAGTAGCAGCTTGCTCAGCGTTGGTCCCTCAAGGGCTGGTGTGAATAAAAAAAGCACAGTGTGGTTTTCAGGAAAAATATTTAAATATCATATGCTGTGAAGTCCCTCTTTCCTTAAGGGAACATTCCTCCTCAGTGTGTCTACTTCATGATGCCTATCATATGTTACACAGAGGATTGTAAAAATAGTGCAAAGTGCATAAACAGAGATGGTTTCACTACAGAAGGTTGTATTGTATTAGTATAGCACCACCTTTCCCTCTTGATCTGTCACCTACCTGTCTATTTTATGTCCATTCATCACCTATTACTTATATTATCTACCTATCATCTATGTATCTATTACCTAGTTACCTCAATCACATCTATTATATATAATGTGTATAACAATATATTATATGTACATAAGTTGTTTATCATTTATCATCTTCATAACATATGGGCATCATCCAGTTTTCTATTATCTACCTGTCCTAGAAATTTATGTAGTTCACAATATTTTTCTTTCAGAGGAAGATAATGACCTTCATTAGAGCCTGATGTTTTACAGGAATAAAGTAGATATGGTAGAGGGTTCACAATGTCCTTATAGCAAACAGAACAGTATGCACATATATATTTTAATCACTTTATTCATTTGAAGTTTTTATTAGGAGTGACACGGTTGGGACAGGCGTGGAAGCCGACATAACTTTGCGTGGCTTTTTCCTAGATTCCAGACGGAAGTCAATTATGATACACTGGAAGTACGGGATGGGCCAACCAGCTCATCTCCTCTGATCGGAGAGTACCATGGCACCCAGGCCCCACAGTTCCTCATCAGCACAGGCAACTACATGTACCTGCTCTTTACCACTGACAGCAGTCGGGCTAGTGTTGGCTTTCTCATCCACTATGAGAGTAAGTGAACCATGGCTGGCACCCACGGCAGGACACTATACTCCCAGGTGATAGGGGTACATGTGCTTGCCTTCAAATGTGAAGACAAATAGGAAAATTCCAAGGACAATCTGACTATCAATTAGTTTTAACTTGTCTCCTACAGAGTGTTCTGGAAATTGGAAGATTGCTTTATGTTCCCTAACAGATATTGATTGCCTATTACAACATAAAATGATATTATCATTAAATGATGAATTGTAGTCTGTTAGTACATAATGCATTAATATATTATATTATTATTTATTATTATTATGATATATATACATATATGTACATATGTGTGTGTGTGTGTGTGTGTGTGTGTGTGTGTGTGTGTGTGCTGGAAGTAATACAGGGTATTTTCCTGAAGCTGGTTCATGAGTATTGAGTGGCGTCTCTCGCCAGGGTGCTGTGCAGAACACTCTGGTCTATGAGTTCATGTGAATGTGTTTTCCAGGGTAGAAAACATTAGATCAGAGGTTGCAAGGAATTAAACCCCAGCTGTGCTTATTGAATGCCAAGTAGTTGTTGGGAACACTTAACTGTCAGTAGGCTGTGGTAGATCCAGTGTGCTCAGCAGACCAGGCTGTTTTCTTTCCAGATTGGCTTTGAGTTTCATCTTTTGAAGCTGTGAAGGTGATGTTGTATCATGTTATAGCCATATTTATATTAATATACTTTGGGTGTTTACCAAGGGGCTTCCTCATAGGAGGGGGGCTTCCTCATGGGGGGGGCTTCCTCATAGGAGGGGGGCTTCCTCCTAGGAGTTGGTTTTTAGCAAGAATCAACCAAATCGCGTCCCAAACCAAACAAAGCTCCTGTAGCTCTCACTGAAAGTCCTTCCCAGGAAAACCAAGTGAAGAGTGAGGCTGGCAGAAGCTAGCTGCAGCCCCATTGGAGCAATGACTGAGTGGAGTAGGAGGTTTAAGGCTGTTATTATTTTGAGCCTTTTCTCAACAATAAATTGTTTCCATTTTAGTGAGAGATATTTATTACACATACACAGCATTCTATAAATGCACGAATGGGATATTTGCATCCTCTTTAACCTATTCCTGCCTCCTCTCCTCCTCCACCATCCACTCTGCTAACCTCTGCCCAGAAAATCTACTACTCAACTGTAGTGGCATTCTGATGCATTTCCCTGTTTTATGTATATGAACATTTGGAAGTCTACAGTTAGAAATATTTTTCAAAGATATCGGGACGGATATGGCCCTCATGCCTCACTGGACAACAATAGGGGAACCAGAGCCATTACAAGGTCCCCTTCAATTACTGGAGGTCAGGCCTCTATCCCCGCCTTTGCAAGTTTAGAATTGCCACAGCCCTTCTATACTTAGAGAAGGGAGGAAATGTCAGGGACAGCCCTGCTTACCCACTGAAGGCCTAAAATCAGCCATAGGCCTAAAATCAGCAATAGGCCTGTCATAATGTATACTAACACCAAGTCTTGGGTCTCTGTGGAAAAACGTTGAAACAGATGGCTATAAGCTATTGTAAACAGGCAGCTTTCATGGAAATTTACCAGCCTGAGGAGTCATAGACCTTGTAAATAGGTAGCCTTGGCAGACAATGCCAACTTAGATAAGGACAATCGAGTCACAGGCAGAGTCATAGTGATCTGTCCCCTGAACCTTCACCCAGCCGATACCCTGTTCTGAAAGATATCTGTATTCCCCCGAACAGCCAGGCTCCAGTGTCATCCCCTTCCCCACGTCCTGCCTTTCTATGTTTATAACCCCTGTGTGAATGAATTACGATTTGAAAATAAGTAAATAAATAAATAAATAAATAAAATAAAAAATAAAAATGAAGTACAACATAAACTCTCCGTAGTAAACTTAAAATTTTTTTTTCATTAAAATGAATGATAATCAATTCTGACTTCGTTACCGGAAAGATTGCCAATTAATTAATTAAAATTTAGTTGTGCTAAACATATATGTATGTATATGTGTGTGTATATATACATATATTTATACACGCACTCATGCACACATCAATACATACACATGTAGCAAGCCACCTGAGGAGACTGCTCAGTGTTTAAGAACACTTCCTACTCTTGTAAAGGACTGGAGTCCAGTTCCCAGCTCCACATCTGACTGCTCACAGCCGTCAGTAACTCAAACTACAGAGTGTCTAACATCCCATACTCTTGAACTCTTTGTGTATCCCTTATATATGGCAAATATCTACACACACATAATATATTTACAGATATTTATACATATACATAAAACAAATAAAATTTAAGAGTTAAGATATTTGTTCTCTTGTATCTTTTTGCATCTGATTATGCCTTCTTGGAGGGAAGGTGTACATGTAGACACCTTAGCTGCCCTGATCTGTGATTGGCAGCTGACACAAAGCAGGACTCACATCAAAACACATGAGAATGTGAACAATGCACATAGTTTTATAGTGATGACTACAAAAACAGTCACCTGCCTTCACTCACCAAGTCACATGTTTATTGTTACCTCTTCACAAAGGCCATGTACTGAAAAGAGGTGTGTTTGCATTATATTTAGGTCAAATATCAGCACTTGTATGTTTCAGCTGACAAACAGAACAAAATCAAAAAGCATCACTCCTCTGAAAATCTATCCACTGCTGTGTCTTCTCCTTATAATGTGAGTGTGAGGCCAGGGTGGGTGAGGTACAACTCTGACTGTAGATGCTGCTATGTGTGCACAGCAAGCCTCCTCAGCACCAATCTTAGTGCATTCTTGCTAGACTGGCCTTATTGCTCTTTGTGCATCCAGTGTGTACTTCCCCACTTCCCAGTTTGGTGGGAATTCCTGGACCAGCCTTGCTTTAGGCAACTTGAGGATAAGATTCAAGACTGTAATTCTACCAAAATATACACATGCACAGACACATGGGCAAACACACACACACACACACACACACACACGTGTATGTGTAGACACACATACACGTGCACACCCCAGGTTAGAAACACGGTGTTTTCATATTTCTCAATCCACATCTGTACTACTGTTTATTGATTTTTTAAGAAAAAACAAAACAAGCAAAAACAAACAGAAACAAAAACAACAACAAAAACAAAACACAATAAAAATCAGCATGACCTAATTCGTCTATCTGGATCCAGTATGGTTTTCTAGGAGTTTCTAGATTTATTTCTGAATGATCAACAGAAATTTCTGTTTTTAAAAGTCCTATATTTTAAGGAGGAGGGGAGGGGAGTAGAGGGGAGGGGAGGGGAGGGGAGGGAAAGGGAAGGGACGGGAGGGGTAGGATGAAGAGAAAAGAAAATGAGAGAAGATGGGAGGAGAAAGGCATAAGGACAAGGGTAAGACTTTTGCAGACTGTTGCTCACTATTGATGGTCCTGATCACATAATCTGCCATAGGGCAGTGAGTGTTGTTGTGCTTTGTATCTATGGAAACCCTGGCTCTTTGTTTTTAAAGACTTAGAATGACCATTTAAGAAAAATAAGTACTGGTAAAAATAATTCAATTGTTTTCAATTTGCTTTTTGTTCAATCATCGTTCGACCTCCTCCAAATTTTAAAAATGTGACTGAAAATCTGTACTGGGTATTATCTGGGGAGGCTCAGGTCACAGTCTATGAGTTCTGTATTTTTCCAATCCTTAAATTCACAGATTTCCCAGACTGCCCAGAGATTATTCATTTGCTCAGTTGTTAACTCCATGAGCTCTCTCAGAATGAGAACACCCCATCCATCCTGTAACAGGGAAAGCACCTGGCGTGATCCCGGAAGAGATCAAAGTATGGTGTACTCCATCAGATAAAATGGAGGTCTGAGAAGGTTCTCCAGGAGGTAGAGTCTACAGGCATGGCTGAAGGAATTACTGAAGGCTAAGCTCCTTCTCAACTTGTGTGCCTGTTGGCTGGACAGAATTGATACAGTAATTAAGAGGCCACAGGGGTAGGCAGAATGGTCCTAATGCTAGAAAACTACTGTGAATAACAGAATAGTCCTGATGAAATGGCTAGGGTATATAACCAGGATGGTCTTTGCCCTCAAGGAACTTGCACTGTGAGCAACCTGAGTGATCCCTATGTTCATGAAACACCCATAGACGATATCCAGGATGCCCATGATTCCCAGGAAATATCCACCAAGAATATCAGGGTGTCACTGAGCCTTGGGAAAGACCCAGTACTCACATGCTGTCCTTTAGCAGCTAGCCTCTCTGTGGCCTGTCAGTTCTACCACTTTTGGGTCACAGTCTATTTATTGTTTAAATAGTTACTCTGGATTGTATGAATCACTTGTTTAATCACATAAAATAAAACCTATCTCTACTAGTCAAGTCACCTCACTCCACTAAAGTCCAATTGATCAGACCCAGGATGCAGGAGGTCAATGTTGGGCCCATGAAAGTCTGAACAGCAGAATATTTTATGATCACAGTCTATACCTGAGCTTACTTCCAGAGGGGAGGACTGTAAAGGAGTTTTCACTCCTCTAACTGCACAAAATACAGCAATGACATTCCCTTCCCTGATTCTCATGTTCTTGAATAGATTATTCTAGAAAAGACAAATATAAAGCAGGACAGAAAGCCTCATGATGAGGTGACCTACTTCCTTTTATATGCCAACTTATCTGGTGGCATAGGCGAGTGGCAGATGACATGGATATTTTAAAACTGTAGATTTTAGACTTATATTCTACAGTTAAAACTGTACAATATAGTTTTAGAAAACTCACTCTCATACAGCTGTAAACTATATTTCATGTGTGTGCTTGCCTGTATGTATCCGAGTGTAGGAGCATGACAGTGAAGCCGCCAAAACCTAACTGGAATGCAAACAATAAAAGCAAGGAGAGTGGAGGATTAAGACCTAGCGTGGTGTTCCGTTAACAGTCTATTGATTTTCTGGGGAGCAAAGGTAAAATTCAAAGTCTTCGATGAATTATTCAAGGTTGTATCATTTCTCTATGACCTAGAGAGGAACACAGGACTGTCTTTCATTTGAAAAACAAGGTCGAGTATTTAGAAACATTGCTTTTCACATGAATGACTATTGAATATAATATGATCAATTCAGTTATGAAGAGTTCACTTAGATAATTCCCTGGGTCTGTGCATATCTGGGAATATATTATAGCTTATGTTATAGCACTTATTTTTTCAGTTTTCCAGAAAGGCCTTTCAGTCTTTTGTACTCTCTGCACATACATGCAGGTGTGACTCTTGAATCCGACTCCTGTCTGGACCCAGGCATCCCTGTGAATGGTCATCGACATGGCAGTAACTTTGGGATCAGGTCTACAGTGACTTTCAGCTGTGACCCTGGATACACACTCAGTGATGATGAGCCCCTCATCTGTGAGAAGAATCATCAGTGGAACCACGCCTTGCCCAGCTGTGATGGTAGGTGGAGCCCGGGCAGGTAGAGCTAAGCTATGCAACACAAAGACATGTAGAGATGAGAGGACACGTGAACGTATGGGCCACTGTGCACCGCTCCTAACATGATCCAACATGACCAGAGAATGTGTTCCCCTTACAAACTGTACCCTTAAAGCACAGCATATTTGAAGGTTGATCACCAGTATTGTTCTATTTACTGGGATAAGTCTTTATTAACATTGAAAAATCTGGTCTGCTGTGGATCATTACTGACAAACATTGAGATTGACAGAACTCACTTACACATGTGTTTTTTCTATAAGTGTTTATTTATAGAAGGCCTGAAAGACTTGGTGCTCTATTTAAACATTCCAGATGGTCAGGCCTCATTCTCTTCTGACTCAAGTGACCCAGGTCCACATAGGGAGTTTCTTCAAAGCTAACATACATTGTCCCACTGACCTCTGACCTTTCCCAGAATACCTCTACTGGGCCTGTGTGCCCCCAGATAGCCTTTGAGATTATTTATGTGTCATCATTCATCTTTCCCTCTGTCCTTATTCACTCCTGTAAAGAGATTGTAGATTACTATATATCACTTTTTCTCTCAATTTCGCACTAAAAGTTAGGTAAATGCTTTGTTTGTGATCTCTTGGGTCTCTTTACTCATGAATATGCCTTATTGTAACATTATTTCTTTAGAAAAGCATGTAGGTATATGAAAAATTAATACTTAGATGTGAGTTACATACATGTGTTATTTCAACTTCTTTTCCTTTTTCCAAACTGTAGGTACTCCTTTTAACGTATTATATGTGTAATAAGCACCTCAGTTCTCTCAAAATAATAGCTACACATAGCAGGCTCTTGGGAAGGTTGTGTTTTCGGTACTCTCGAGGACTGGTAATCCTTGATCATTGCACCAGATTATTGGCTTTAACCAGTGCACAGTACATACAGATAAGAAGTGGAACACTCAGGGTAGATGAAGGCCTTTGCAGGCAAACACAAAGAAGTAGTGAGCATTCTGGACTCTGAACAGAAATGGGGAGAGAGCTACTTACACACCCGTGGTACTACCTAGTAGGAAGGACAAAGAATGGGCAATTAGGCATGATGACCTTCTTCAGGATGATCACATATTGTTCATTATCGGCAGAAAGCAGCTGAGACAGTGTTCTTTGATGCTGTACATTGCGATTATATTATCATCTACCCCTAAGGTCACCATCTTTATTTGGTTGCTTGTTTGGTTCTGAGACAAGATCTTATTGTATAGCCCATCCCACCCCAATCTTGCAGCCTTCAGGGTACTGGGCCATGTTGTTGGGACTCCAAACTTTTCCACCGTGGCTATGAGGATTGAAAGAGTGAAATCTTAGGACTCTGTGGTGACTAATGTATCCTTGCCCACCAATGGACAGTCACTGCATTGTCACCACATTGGTCAAGGCACCCGGCTGGGTATTGAAATGATGCTTCCAAGTGAAGCTCTGCTTGATCCATTTGAAGTTGACATTCTGAGGTGGATTCTTCTCAGCAGTCACCAGTGGTGTGTAAAATGAATGTGTAGACCGGAAATGACTTAGAAATGAAATGGAGTGTGACTCAGCCCTGCTAGAATGGCCCTGTGATCAGTAATTGGCCTGTTATAAATGACATTTTCTAGAGAAAATAAAAGTAGATTAAACTTAGACATTTTGCCTTTTGTCTTTCAAGTCAAATTTATGAAAATTTGAAATCTGATACATCCAAGGGGATCCCTAATTTGATTTGTTATGCCACATTGTAGCACCTATCCAGGACTAAAAAGCCTACAATGAAAGGTTATTAATAAATCTTCACATTTCAAGAGAGTTTAGAGTTTAACATGAGACTTTTATTTAGTCGTGGCTGTTTACACTGAGCTCTGAGGATCTCCTTGCCCTTTCTAATCTCACACAATCTCTTAAGTCTCACAGGTTTTATATTGCAATAAACCACATCAATAGGAAATGTAAACCTCTAAAAATTCATAGTTCTCAGCAAGAGAAAATAAATTAGAATTAATTATCATATTTTATCTCACCTGAAAAAAATAAACCTTTTCTTTCTCCAAGTACTACATTTGTTCCTTTTTAATGCCATTGCTAGCACACTACAATTTTAAATTGAGCATTGAAGGCATTATCTGCCTTCTAGTTGATAAAGGACAAATGCACGGATCATTTTAGAAAGCTGTTATTAAATATTTTTGCAAATTGTTTATTCTTTCTGCAAACCTTTATTGCAAAACAATTATGTTCATTGCCTCCTAACAGTTAACATCAGCATAACATTCTATATAGCTTTAAATTCACACACAGAAACAAGTGAAGAAAGAAAAATGACTAGAAATAGGGAATGAAAAAATAATAAATACTACTTACAATGTGTAGTCTTGAGAGGCCTGGGAGGTATCTTTCAAACTCTATCTTCCTGAAGAGACTTGATTCTGGAGAAATAATTTGATTCAAGGCAAATGAAATAAAAGAGAAAGAATAGGAGAACATGGAGCTTTGGGTGAACACTAGTTGCTGAGATTGGAAGTATGAAACACAGTTCAAGGTTTTAACACTAGTCTCTGGGCATGGTCAGAAGACAAAGCTATACCTCAGCATCCCACAGCCAAAGTTCTTCATCTTTGATAGTGGAAACAACTGTGCATGTGTCTTAGAAGTTATTGCCTTATAAATGTGGGCAGTCCTAATTTAACATTGCCTTAAACTTCAGGGCATCTGTCCAATATTTCTTTGGGGAATATGAGTCCAATATAAATAAATAAGTAAAAAGAGACATCAGTGACTTCTGTTAACCATAGAAAGGCCATGAATCAACCTGCAATGGAGAGAAACTGAAATACAGCTCTGCTTACTTAGTATCATACCCATCACACACACACACACACACACACACACACACACACACACACAAATCTACAAATTAATGAAAAGGAGAAAAGGAAGAAAAAGATGAAGCACAAGAATTGTGTTTCATGTAGAATTTTTTCAAAGAAGATACTAGTATAAGATGTCAGAGTTCAGTTAGATCCAAAGACCAAAATATACCAGCTAAAACATGAAGATCAGGCCAAGCTCTTTAGCTTGGTGGTAGAGCACGAGTATATCACATGTAAGGCCCTGGCATCCTTCTGTAGCATCACACGCAAAGGAAAGCTGAACTGGACATCTGGGCATCAGCAGAAGTACCGCATATGAGGCATGACATTGGGGGTATAGGACAGAGCGAACTCACAAAGTATGCTCATGGACTAGGCAACAGAAATAACTCAAGGAAGAGGCTGTGTGGATTTGAGGGTCTTCAGCTTCTCTGGGTACTATAGGGTAGCTAACATGGAGAGAACATAATTTATGACACCTCCTTCTTTCCTCTCTTGTAACCTTGTCTCATGAAACAGGACTCTGGCCTTCAGCAAAGATAGATACTTAGTCTTGAACTTAAGTTCCATGTCTTGGACACAAGAAATGAAAATTCAGTCTACAGTCTTCAATGTAATATTAGACTACTCTTGTCATGACCTTGGAGATGACTTGGGTGGAGAAAGGAGGTGATAATGATGAAAAAGAATAAAGACAACATCCATGGTGGGGTCTGTGAGTTTTGTAGAAGGATATGCATTACCCTCTTGCTGGTATGGACAGGTCAAAGAAATGACACCAGAGCACATACCACTGGGCAATGCAGGAAGAGTAACCCCCACATCCTACCAACAGGACCTCAGTTATGGGGTATCCACCATTGTCAGTGACATCAGCTTGCCATCTCAATAGCAATTTGTAGACTAAACATCTGGACTGCCTTTGAGATCTGAAGGCTACTTGATATTATTTACTTGCAGAATAATTCTCAGTTATCTATATTTTTAATTTGATTTTTGCTTTCTCTACTGGATTATAATTTTGAGGATGTCAGAGACTTTTTGTGTGCCTGAGAGCATAAAGAGTGTTAGGAAGACAGGGGTTAAGTCCTCGGTCAATGATTTGCCAGGGAGACTGAGGCCTAAGCAGAGGTCAACACCAACTGATCAGTGGCGGGACCTTACCTCAGTACACATGGGGAAAGATGCCAACCTGTCCCCTATGCCCTTTCTTATTTTCTGCATATTTTAGTCATCTTTCCAAGGGGCTTTTGGATAAAACCTATCTGTGTCCTGGATGGCAGGTAGATATTAGAAATACAAATGTCGAACTCACAGAGTAGCAGCCTCGAGGAAATTAGAAGTAAGTTTTTTACTGTAGCTTTCATAACTATCCCAAGAAGGCTCTATAGTGCATGAAGAAATAGGTTCATGTAATTCAAATTCTATGTGGCTAAATTGGTGGCTCTGCCTAGGGAACAGAGACATGGCCATATATGAATAGTCAAATCCTGGAGGGATCCTGCAGGGAAAGTCTAGGTTTTATCTTATTCTCTACTCTCTTTAGAATTAGCTGAGAATCTCATTCCATTCTCCGCATATCAAATTCCCTTTTCCTCAACCTTGTGGGTTTTGTGCAGGTATTTTTATTTAGAACATTGATAATGGGAGCTTCAGAGAGTCCCGTGTATCCATCAAGGGATCAAGATTGACAGAGACATCCAACTCACCTGCAAATTTCTCCCAAATGGAAACACCTTGTGGCTGATTAGCACTCTTGGCCTTCGTAGTGGAATGTGGAGTCACTGAACAGCAGCGGAGAGGCAGAGAAGCCTGCAGACCTCTGGTGCTTACCAGCCCACTGGCTGAGGGAATTACTACCCTCTAGGCCATGAGAAACTCTGTCTCAATTCCCTACACAATGGCACTGAGGCAAGACCTTGGCTTCCAGAGACATGCACATTTGTACAGACACATTAGCCCACACACAGAGAACTGTGGATTTTGTGATTATTCAATGTAATTGGATATGAAATCCGTTTTAATGAGCTACTGTGAATGGGCAGGCTTTAGAATACCTTGTTCCAGAAACATTGGATATACAGCATCTCAGTGTTACATAAAATACTATTTCTTATAGCTAAATCCTTCATTAAACTTGAGAGTTCATTGCTCTGATTTATGCTTCTCCCATAATAGATGAAAATTAACTATATACACCTTCTCCAATCAAGACCTCAGACCTCTGTTTCCCCCCTACTCTGTCCTGTACACTCTGCTTCCATCTCCACTGTGCTGTCCAGGTGGTAAATGCCTAGGTGCCGTTTTCTATTTGTTCACATCCATACTGGCTATCTACCAATATGCTGTCTTGTTTCTTGGTCAACGTTTCCCAAAGGACACTGACTCATCCACTCCATTCCAACTCCAGCCCCCTGCATGGGTGTTCAATAGCATCACACTTCAGAGTTCCAAGGCTGACCCCCGTTTTTCCTCTGCTCACACATCTGAATCCCCTTCCTGTGTCATCCTTAGGTTTCCAGTTTGCAATCTCCCTACCGCTATGCTGGTCCTGTGAGAAGAAAGTTCCAATAGGTCTACAGTCTGTATGTGTTTGCCCCTCTCTCTCCAGCTGCCCATAACATCTGGCCATCTGGTTAATATTTCCCCCTACACCTTACAGAGCAGCCCTGGGACCTGGTTAAGCACAACATAGCCTATGTGATCCACAGGCAGGGACTTAATATGTCCCATTATCTGCCTCTGAAAAGTGTCAGCCTTCTATGATGATCTGTGAAGCATGGGAACCCCTTTGAACAATAACAGACTGTTCCAAGGACCTTCTTCTCACCTTCCCTTTGTGCCATGCAGACCTCTTCTGCAGACAAGCCTCTATTAGTTGATGGTCCCTTTTCCTTTCTTCGTTCTTGCCACCTCCACTCTCATTCAGCTATCACACGGGGCCTCGAAGCTCAGGCTCCTTGGGGCTCTTTCTCCTAGCAGCTCTCACAACCCATGTGAGTGCCTTGGACTCCACTATCCTTCCCCCTACCCCCCTCATTGCTTAGCTCCATGCTCAGGCATCTGTGTTGGGGAATAGTAATTCCACTGACTTCAACTTTATAACTTTTACACTCAAGTACATATGTGCCATAACTGTCTATCAAGTATGGAAGCTCCATGTCTGTCTACAAGTGTGTGTCTGTCATAGAGTATCACAGCTTACATGTGAGTATGGATGTAGGCGCATGCGTGTGTGTTTAAATCTGTAAGAAAACAAGAAGAGGAAGGAAGAAAGTTATTTCTCTCTTCCAAAATTATGTTTTATACACAATTTCATACATATATGTATATATAAATTTTTCTTGCTTATACATGTATTTTAATCAAATCCACATCTCCATTTTCTTCTGTCCAATTCATTCTCTATCCTTTTTTCCACTTTTCCCTCTCACACTTCATGTACTTGATTTTTTTAAATACACCGAATCCACTTAATGCTGCTATCTGTGCATGGTTATGGACCATTCATCAGAGCATGGGTGTCCTCTCAGGATCTGCGTCCTGGAAGAGAATTGACTTTCCACAGTGTTCATCATTTACAAATAGCCCTTTATCTAGGGGTGGGATTTCATAATCCCCTCCCCATACAAATTAGGATTTAGGCTGGTTGATCTTGTCCTGGTCTCATTTGTGCAATCAAAGCTGCTGTGACTTCATGTGTGCCATGATTTTTTATGTCTGTCAAAAAACCTCAAAGCTCCTGTTGTACTGCTATCAACTAGTACTTTGGTGTTCAAAGTTTTATGAATGACTTTATGGTTCTTAAATATTTGAAATAGTTGAAACATGGCATATTGTGCTGCAAGAATTTTGAATTCACTAAAGGACTGCTAAGAAGTCCCAACCTGGAGGATAAGAATGACAGCTTAAATGTATTCTTGGTTCTCCAGATGTATTGACACAGTTTGGCATTCTCTGCCCTGCTTTCCACTGAGTTAGGATCTATGGCTGTGCTGTGATAGGGACACCTGCTTATGAACTGGCATCTCACAGCTGCAAGCAAAACAATGTCTAAGTTTCAACTTCATCCTCTGGTTGGCTCTTATGCAAATTCACTGTCCATCTAGAAGCCCTCCATCCCAGCAATCACTGTGGACTGCTTGTGTTTTCTGTTATTTCAGCCCTGTGTGGAGGCTACATCCATGGAAAGAGTGGGACTGTCCTTTCTCCAGGATTTCCAGACTTCTATCCAAACTCTCTGAACTGTACATGGACCATCGAAGTCTCACATGGCAAGGGTAAGACCTTAGCACAAGCAATGCACAATGGGGAGCACAGGCTAGAAGACACAGTAAGAATGGGAGTACCGTGGACTAGATGAAGCAGTAAGGATGGGAGCACATGTTAGAAAAAACAGTAAGTATGGGGAGCACAGAGTAGAGAAAGCAGTAAAGAAAGGCCAAGAAGAGGAATGAATTTCATGGTTTCCAAGCCCTTAGCTTTTATTTTTTGATAAGACTAAAAGAAAACAAGATCTTTGTATCATTGGAATGTTAAGCAGAAGTCATTTTTGGTGTTATTCTCCATTCAGTAACCTGGCTGTATATATGTGAATATAAACTTGGAAATTAAATGTAATGATAAAGAAAATGAGCTTTGATTAACCAAAATGTGACTATTCATTCAGAACAAGAAGAGGGAATTTTTATAAAACTTCTATAATATGTCTGAGATACCTCTGTGCTTCTGTTCTGGGTCTGCTTGGCATTGTCCTTATGGTAACTGTCAGGTCTTCACATAATCCAATGGTGTTTTAGCACCATGGATTCCTCCATCCTTACACAGATGGTAAATGCAAATGAAGCAAATTAGTACTCTATGCAGCAAATATACATTATAAATGCTGGGCTTAGCAAGGTGCCCTAGGTATTTTCTTATATCCATAACTAAATGTTATTTTGAAAGAACCTTTAAAAACTTTGGTCAGTAGACTTTGCCTTTCAACATGTATTTAAACTTCTCTAGGTGTTTTATTGACCTAGATGTTACAGCGACCTTCTGGATATGTTTTACATTCTCCCAGGAGCATATATTTAAAAATATGGAGAGGGAAATCCGAAATTAAGAGCATAATTTCATATCCTTGCAAAGGACTTGAATTTGAATCCAGGTACCTACATCAGTCAGTACACAACAACATAAAACTCCAATTCCAGAAAGGTCAGATGCCTCTTACCTCTGAGGGTATATGCACTCACACACACATATCTACACAGAGACTCCTGAATGCACATATAAATCAAAATAGTAACTCTCCAAGGAAAGAAGGAAGAGAAGGAAGGAAGGAAGGAAGGAAGGAAGGAAGGAAGGAAGGAAGGAAGGAAGGAAGATGTGGTCCTGAAGTAAATTAAATAAACAGATTATGAGTGACAAATATTATTTAATTAGAAAAAATTTAAATCTTTAAAGGAGTCCACTTATACATACATTGGCTTCAGCAGAGAAACTCAGAGGTACTGTGTTGTGAGTCTGATTTCTATGCAGACATCATAAGGCTTACAAAACTATAATTTCAAGAGAATTTTCCCTCTACACTATATTTGCATATGATATCTCCAAACTAATATTTCTAAAAATGAGGAATGGAAATGGAGAGGTTTCAATGTTTTATCTCTGAGAAGAACACTCCCCCGAGCCTGGTGACCATCCATGAATGCAGTCAAGAATCAATATACTTTTTCCACTTATGAAACCATGCGTCCACCTATAGATTCCTTTAAGCTTTTGTCTTCATGAATAACCAGACTTACATGTCTATCACCACAGACAGCTGCCTACACACACTTGTGGTGATATCTATATCTGTGTCCATTTTCATCTGCATGAACATCAATAGCATGCCCATGCTGGTATTTGATTAATTTCCACTTAGATACGTGAGTGTATCAGTAGGTATATACAGCCCCTCTGTACCAATATCCATGTCCAAATCTGCACCAAAACCCACGGCAGCAACTGATCCGACAACTATTTGAACCTTTGTTTTGTTTAACTCTTCTTGAATTAAGAACACCCTTTATCTGATTTCTCTCTGAAAGTTCAAAGTTAGAATCGTACAAGATAATTTTAATATTTAACAATTTAAGATATTTTGATCCAAACCTTTGATGTCTATAATTATGCCTAGAAGAGATTCCTTTCAGCTGCAGTTAAATTGACTATCCCGCCCTCCCCTCTCAGGAGTGCAGATGAATTTCCACACCTTTCACCTTGAAAGTTCCCACGACTATTTGCTGATCACGGAGGATGGGAGTTTCTCAGAGCCGGTAGCCAGGCTCACTGGGTCAGTCCTGCCTCACACCATTAAGGCTGGGTTGTTTGGAAACTTCACTGCACAACTCAGGTTCATTTCTGACTTCTCCATCTCCTATGAAGGCTTCAACATTACGTTTGCAGGTATGTTGTTTCTTTGTAATTTCTGTCTTTGTCTCCCTCTCCCTCTCCCTCTCCCTCTCCCTCTCCCTCTCCCTCCCCCTCTCCCTCTCCCTCTCCCTCTCCCTCCCCCTCTCCCTCTCCCTCTCCTCCTCTTTCCTCCCTCTCTCCCTCTCCCCACCTCTGTGTGTGTGTGCGTGTGTGTGTGTGTGTGTGTGTGTGTGTGTGTGTGTGTGTGTGTGTGTGTGTGTGAGTGTGAGTGTCCCTTCTCTCTCCTTGCAAATTTTTTATCCATAAGATATAGAGGCTGAGTTCATGATGCTGAGGGCTAGCATGTCTGTCTGGCAACTGATGTGTCATTCTGTCTTGCACTAAATGTAAATTCTCTTCCTTGGAAATCGATAAATAAAACTCTGTTTCCTGAAAAGATTTCCTTTCTCGCCTCTCCTCAACAGTTCTAGCAGCTCTGAGCACACCCCACTCCCTGGGATCAATATGCAAGGGCTGGTGACATTGAGTCTTGCCCCTCCAGTAGAGACACACACACAGAGGAAGACAGACTATTAGTTCCTTTATCAGAATTATACATGGTGACAATTTATTCTAACACAGTCAAGAAACTTTATTTTTTTTGAAACCTTATTTTTTTAACTGTTTTTTTTTTCCTTAACTGTAGTATATAGTGATACCTGTGTAGGTTTTCTGGAGCATTTGAGACTTTTTATATAGGGATGATTGCATATTTGTGTTGCTTTTGACCTTGATCTTTGCACATACGATAAAAAGTTCTGATCCAAATGATAAAGATAAAGCCAAGATAAATCTGATGTTTTAAAGAAGGCTCCAAGAGCACTCTTCTTCCATTGTCTACACACCCACTGACAAGGAGTGAACTCCCACCGCTGATGGGAGTGAACAATTACACTTCCTTGTACTGCCAGCCTAGAAGTCCTGACCAAGACCCAGTGTCAGTCATCATAGTTCAGAAGTAACTCAGTTTTGTAATATGGTCTCCAAAGACCTTAGTTGTCTTTGATTTCTTCTGTGCATAAGATCTCAAGTCTAAATCCCAGAAAAACTACCAGGAATACTTAGTGATTGTTCTAATATTTGATTGTTTATCTATATCCTGAGGCTATATCTATAGTCTCCTGCCGTCTCCCTCCAGCAGCTCTGTGTCTAATTTGTCACTTGGCAGAGGCTTTATCGCTTCTTACATGAAGTTGTAACATGGAATACCTCTCAAAAACAAAAATAAAACAACAACAAAAAACTTCTGTTTTTTTCCTAATTCCAAAGAGCTGTGATTATTTTAATTTGACTTAATTTGACTTCGTTGATTTTCTTGCTATGTCTCAGCATAAAAGAGGGGTCCAGGATTGGCTCAAATGCATGCTTTCTTGGTATTTTACCGTAGTCATAGTAATGATGAAATTGGCCACATTATCAATCAAAGCCTTCAGTCTCCTGGTGCTATTGCTTGAGTCTCTCCTCTGTAGTATCTCTAGACAATCTATTAAGGTCACTAAGAGAAATTTTTCCCTCTATGTTCTTGCATCTGGATCTATAATGAGGAAAATGGAATCCTCTAGAGAAGATGGCAGTGAGACCCATGGCTACCTCCCAAGGGTACTAACCAGGGGACAATACACTTCTCATTCATCTGTCCCTATCTATCTTAAAGTTCTACTGCTCCCCATACACAGCTCACAGTCAGATCTTTGGATTTCTGCCTCAGTCCATCTGTGCTGCTGTAACAGAACATCTCTGACTCTGGGGAAGATGAGAAACTCCATTGTCACAGTTCTGGTTGCTGGAAGGTCACAGCGCTACATTCTAGTATCTGGCTTTGCTTCTGAGCTACATCATCACACTGCAGAAAGGAAGTGGGGCTGCTGCCTTGCCTCCTTCTCCTACAGTGCTCAAGTTAACCCTTTCATGAGAGTAATGCCCAACACCCATGCAACACATAACATCCAGCCAGTCATTTAGAACAAAGCAACTACAAACTTCAGAAGTTACACTTCAATCCAACAATGCCTTTCACAATCCATTTGAGCTGCTGTATTAAGGAAAATCCACATCCACACACATCATAGCACAGAAATTATTGGTTCTGGGTCTTTGCAGGCCTTGTGGGAAGTCTATTTCTCGATGAATGCAGTTACTTAGGTGTGTGGTTCTGTCAACTCATGGTGCCAGGCAAAGACACAGAGAGGAACCTCGATGGGGAAGTAGAGCTGAGCACATTCTTGGTGTGAGGAGCCCCCTACAGCCAGAGCACCACGAAACCACCATGCACTTGTATGAGGAGAGACCTCAGCACCTGTCACCTCAAAAAACTCCATACTCATCGGTACTGTCATAATGAAAACTGAATTACCACAGGACTTTTAAAAGACATAGAATTTCCACAAAATGTGTATTTTAGCCCTGTTTATTGATTTCACTCTGCCACACGTGTCTTGAGGTGAGATTATCTCTTTCCACTGTTGAACTCTTGGCACTGGCATAGAGAACTCATTCGGTGTATCATTTCACTTTAAACACTCAACAAATATTCCAGAGCAGTTGCACTGTAACCTTCCTGCAGTAGGGCCTTACACGAGGAGGTAAGCTGGCTCTCTGGAAGCTGATTCCTCCGTGCAAGGCAAGCCCTGGAGCACACAGGTTCCTGCTGACATGAAAAGCAAATGGAGAAAAATACGGAAGATAATATTCCAAACGAAAATCTTTCATAATGAAAGGAAGGTAGAATAAGTAGAGCAATAGATTTCTTTCCAGCTGTGGGAATTGTAAATGACAGGACTTGGTAGATGGCTCTTCGGGTAAGAGCACATTTTGCTCTTGCAATGGACCTGGAGTCAGTTCTCAACACCCATCTCTTCTGACTTCCATGGGCACCAAGCCTGGATAGAGTGCACATACATACACACAAGTCAAGCATTCATACATATAAAATAAAATGAGTACACATAGTTCATAAAAGAAAGAGTATGAGGAATGCATACTGCAAGTGTTCATCATAAAATGCTCAACAAATAGCAGCTTAATTGAGAAGCCATGGCTATGTAGATGGATAATAGAAACTAATACTCCCATGTCTGGTGGGATAAGATCAGACCCTTTTTATTCAAAAGGCACAGGGAGAGGGCATCAGCTAAACTATCAGATAAGGGGCCGGAAAGGTGACACTGTGGTTAAAAGCAGTTTCTTCTCTCACAGAGCTTCTGAGTTAGGGTCCCAGCATTTATGTGGAGCAGTTCAGAGTTGCTTGTAACTCTCCAGGGCATCCAATGCCCTCCTTTGACCTCTATGACTACTCTTACACATGTGTATACACACAAACACATAAACATAAATAAAAATAAAGAAAATTTATTAAAATTTTAAAAACTACAAAATAAAATGTACATATAGCAGAGAATCTTGATACCATGGGCACCTTTGTAGGAAATGCAGAAGGAACCACATGGACACCATTAGCATCTTTGCTAAGAGTTTAACATTGTTTTTAAAAGAAGAGAAAGACACCATTTTCACAAAGTATATAACCTATTTTTCAGATGAAAGGAAAATTACCTCAGAAGGAAATGTCTGCTAGGTCATAACATTTTTACTGTAGTATCTCCTAAAGAGTCTGTGTCATCTCCGACGGGTTTGTAGTGAGTATCGGTTGTGCTCACTAGATAACAGTTTCCATCTTTTCCTTCCCTGGGGCAGAGTAAACTGGAATCAGAATAATATGTACGCTCTCAAAATGGCGAGATGAGCTATTTTATAGATCTAGAGAATTTTGACACCAATGAAGAGCAGGGTAGGCAATGGTGACAGTACAGACCTCAGCGGCTAACCAGGGGCCTGATGAAATGACAGTGAGATTTTGGTAAGATTCTAGTAATCTGATAATAAGTGACAGAGAGGGTTGAGTTTGAGATGACAAACGAAGAAAACACTGGTGGATTTGGTTTCTCTGTGTGTTCACTGACAATATTGAATCTAGAATTTAATGCTAGGACAGTCAGAGATTGGAAATAAGAAAGTGGAGGTGATTTTTCTTAGGAGCAGATTCTGGTTCCCACTTGATCACATACCTCACTCGGAAGAAATGGCATGGGTTTGTCTGGGAATTTTCAGTAACGATTATTCATCAGTAAAACTTCCATTGTCTCTGTTCTGCCTAGTTTTTAGTGTCAGTTTTACAAAGCATAGAGTCACCTGGGAAAGGGGACTCCTAACCAAGGACTTGCTTGGATCACAGTGGCCTGTGGGCCTGTCCTGATGGATAGTTGATCTGGGAGAACACTTTTCATTGTGGGAACATCTTTAGGTAAACGGCTCTGACTGTGTAAGAAAACAGACGGAGCAAGCCAGAGAGCAAGCCAGTGAACAGTACTCCTCTGTGGTTTCTGCTTCATTTGCCACTTGAGTTCCTACCCAGGCTTCCCTCCACGTTGTACTGTGACCAGGAAGTGTGAGCCAAACAAGCTTTATCCTGCCCTCAGCTGCTTTTGGTCAGTGTCTTATCACAGCATCGGAAAGAGAAACAGATCAGTTCTATATACCATCTTCCATCTCCAGACTCTAGGGACATTCCCTTGGCCTGTGACCTAGCACTGACCCGACTGACTGTATGGGATATGGAAGGCTTCAGATGGAGCAAGCTGCAAGACACTAGAGAATGGGCGACTTCTGTCCCTCCCCTAATTGTACTCCTGACTCTTAACATCTTAGTTCCTCCAGAGACAAACAGAAGGACCAATGGTAAACAGTGCCCAACCTGTTACACACAGTGTGATCCCAACCACCACCTGAAAGCATGAGACAGACACAGAAGATCCTCTGCGATGCTAACCTTCTGAAGACATACTCTCTGTGGGCAGCCACATAGCAGACACCACCACTTTGTATAAAACATGCTTAGCGCTTGCTTCTGGAGTGGCTCATAGAAATATCTACTTGACAAAATATCTCCCGCTGTGCATCAAGAAAACCTGGTCCGTACATTGAAAATAGATTTGTTCTATACACACCTGTTTGCAGGTGACTTGGTCATGATGATGGTTAGCACTACACTTGGCCCTGCTCTGCCTTAAGCCCTGTGCCTTCATGAAATGTACATTTAAGGAAAGGACAGAGCTGCTTTTAACAGCTGTAAATATAAGAAAATTGATTCCATCCTTTCAATGTGATAGGTAGAAATGATTCAACCCTTTTTACCTTATTACACATATACATTTATATTGTAAAATACTAAGACTTACGGTACAATCCGTGGGACAAAGGACAGTAATTCATATGACAAAAGAGAGGGGAGGGGAAGAAGGGAGAGAGTAGGATGAAAGGGAAGTGTCTTTAGTGTTGTCTCTCTCCTAGTCTATGCCAAATATTTTTGCTTGCTTCCCAGGCCTTAACCGCTCACCATCTCTTTTGTTTCCAGAATACGACCTGGAGCCCTGTGACGACCCTGGTGTCCCTGCCTTCAGCCGCAGAATTGGATTCCAGTTTGGTGTGGGTGACACCCTGGCTTTCACTTGCTTCCAGGGATACCGCTTAGAAGGTGCAACCAAGCTTACCTGCCTGGGTGGGGGACGCCGAGTGTGGAGTGCACCTCTGCCAAGGTGTGTGGGTAGGTGGCCACACGCTTTCATTTCATTCATCCATGGGCAGTGGGTCAGGAAACAGCGAGAGGGCTGGGCAGGAAGGGCAGAGGCTAAAACTGGGATAGGCAGGGCTGAGGGGCACTACCACACTTTTGGAGCCTGACTTACCTCATCTACAAACTGTGTCTCTGTCAGCTAGAAGGTTCTGTGAGTGGGAAAGGGAGACCAGAGTACATACCCAGTGTCTCCATGAAGGAAAAATGAGTATATGTTAAATAAAAAAAAAGAAGAAGAAGAAGAAGAAAGAAAATGGGGAAAATGAAATGTTAGAAGACATGCTATAGAAACACAAGTTCCACAGTTGCTGAGAGCCACACTCCCTTTGATGACAGTGGCAGTTCAGAGTGGCTTTGTTGTCCTTTGGAACCCTTCATTGTGGGTTTTTCTTGTGTGGTCCAGAAAACAAGCATCACTGGTGTTTGGGCTCAGAGTTAGCTTTAGAGTGTCATCTGTGAGAAGGAGGCAGCTGTTGTGTTGTGCAGTGTTGCACAGTTTGGGTTATTTGCAAGGAGGTTCTCAAGACATACAGCCATCAGTGCAGTAGTTCAGAGCAGTGGTACCTTGCTCAGGTTGAGCATTGTGCTGGTCTGAGGGACTGGGGGAGCAGAGGCACCATTACCACCTTGGTTTTAGCACAAGATTTCTGTGACACCTGAAGGGCCTGGTCTGTTATCCCTGAGAGACGGACTGACAGGTGTCACTCAGTCACAACACTCAGCAACTCAGCAGCGGTCTGCTCATGACCAGACATCTTAACCAAGAAAAACTGTGAGAGATTGGCCATGTTTTCCTCAAGACATTTGTGTTCACAAAAGTGGACCAAAGGATCATTCCAAAGTCCCTGGCTACAAAACAGAGGCAAGCACAGAATCCCTGAAAAAGGCTGGCCATGAAACAGAAGCAGGCTTGGGATCACTGAGAGAGACTAAATAACAAGAAACTCTCAGAAGGTTAGCAGGATATGCCTGTATTTCTCCATAGCTCTTAGTCTCTTCTATTCTAGGCATGACTTAGTACCGGTTTGGAGTCTAAAAGTCAGTGCTGGCCTTTGCTTCCTCATGAGTCCCAGATGATCAAGACTCAACTGTAGACAAAATTAAGTTATCATCAAAAATGCTCTTCTTCCTCCACTTTCTCTTCTTCCCTGCACTCTCATCCTATGTTAAAAACTGAGCTCAAGTTTCAGAGACTTATATGGACATTCTTCTGTTTATGTTCTGAGAATTTCACAGGCTTCCCTGGGATGGAATCGCCCTCCATGTTTAAACACTTTAACATTTACAGTTTGAGTTTGCGGAGGAAACCCACTTAAATGAAACCAAGCAGTTGGTCCAGAGATTGTAACATTCATTTCTGATGCTGTTTTACTTGAATTCGTCATTACAACTCTGGTTTTCGTGAAAAACAGGATTTTGCACTGTTGTCTTACATGAAAAACAATTTATTGAGTTTTGCCTGGAGGGTACTGTGAGCTTTGCCTGTCTTGATGTATTCACTTGGTGCTGTGTCTAGACAGTAAGCATGGCATTGTCAGCCTATTTTATAGTTACAACAACCTAGACAGAATCTTGTCAGGAAACCTCATAGCTGTGGGTTGCCAAGCAGCAGATGTCAATGGCTGTTATCCACCCACAGCTATGGGCTAGCCCACACAGAGCTTATATTGGCCTCTCTATTCAGCCTTTTGTACTTTGCCAGCTGCTGCCTGTATTTCTTTCGAGAACAACAGGTTGCAAGACACCTGGGTTAATGGGTCACAAACTACACTGAATCCAACAGACATAAGGCAGACCTTGTACCACCTTCGTGTCTGCAGTTGGCCACACTCCTAGGCTTCTGGTTGCTATGACTTCACCAACTATGGGATTCATGATGAGCACTGACTCTGGGAACTCTGCTCTTCCTGCACTGAGGATTCTGGGTCCCCTCTGAACCCTCAAGTCTTGCTGCTGAAAGAAATCATCTACTCTGGGAAACTCACACACTTTTTCATAGAAACCCGCTCACTAAGTCACTTCTGATTTTACTCAGAAGGAACCTTCTCTATTATTATTATTAAAATTGTTTTTATAATTATCATCATTACTATTATTATTTTACTTATTCACTTTACATCCTGCTCACTGCACATGTCCTGGTCACCCCCTCCTGCAATATTTTCCCCCATCCTCTCTCTCCTTCTTCTCCTAGTAGGTGGGGCCCCTCCTAGGTATCCCCGACCCCATCCTGGCACATCAAGTCATCTCTGTGAGGCAAGGTGCATCTGTTTACACTAAGGCCAGACAAGGCAACCCAGCTAAAAGAACATATCCCATGAACTGGCAACAGCTTTTGGGATAGCCACTGCTCCAGTTGAGGAACCTTCTCTTAATGATGGCCATCATAGATTCTCCCCACTTTGGACTGCTCTTGCCCTCTTGCCCGATATGTCGTTGCCTGAACCAACAAAGGCTTTGAGCTTAATTCTTCAGTGTTCTGTCTGCATCCCTGTGCCTGTCTTCGTATATCCCAGTGTGGGAGGTTTGGACCACCCTGACAAGTTGATTCCTTCTATTTTTTGAGTACATGCACACACATACACACCCACATACCCACATACCCACACACCCACACACCCACACACCCACACACCCATACACCCACACACCCATACACCCACACCCCACATACACACATACAACACACACACAACATACACATAACACACACACAACACACACAACACACACACACATACAACACATACAC